TTCATAGGAGAAACTGTTAAAGCTGATTCTGGATTAAATGATCACCCTCTAAGGAACTGAGCTCTGTAGCAAATATCAATGATTTGCTTTAAAAGGTAAAATAAAGTTCAACATTAAAACAGAAGGAGAAGCGGAAGCCTTTAGCTCAGTTTCAGTCGATCAGCCCGTCTCACCACATCTCCGCGGTCCAATAAAGACGTTTCCCCGAGGGCCTTTTAAAGCATTTTCTCTACAAAATGAACCTTTGTACAATCACAGCAAGCAAGATGGACAGTTTCCATTACTTGGTTCTTGTAATTAAAGGATTTACACTAATAGCAAATTTATCATAATTCCTGTTGGCTATCAAGTCCGTGACAGGCTATTTTATTCCAGCGCTACGTTTCAGATTAAAGCCTTCAGGTTAGCGCAGTGTCTGTGACTCAACATGCAAAGCTGTGTGATGAAGAAAGAACACACACTTACAGTTGAGCGCGCACGCGCGCACACACACACACACACACACACACCATAAAACCATGGATGAAGATCCTGCTGGTTCTGTGTGTGTGTGTGCTGCAGTCCGGTGGGACAAATGCAGCAAATAGGTGCACAAATACGCACCCTGTCCCAATTTTCAAACTCAAACAATCCTCCTGTGTTGTTTGAGCCTAATGGAGACATGAGTGCAAAATAATAAGCGTGCACCAGCAGAACATCCAATCAGACGGACGTCACTGCTGCAAGGACTGATAGCAAGGGTTTGGTATGCAACACACGGGCATATTCAAATGCTAATTCACACACACACACACACACACACACACGCACGCACGCACGCACACACACACACACTAATCCTGCATGCAGTTTCTCACTCTGAATATCATTACTGCCGTCCGTCTTTGGACCAAAATGAAGCTGCATTCTGACAAAAGTCTCTGAATAAAATAGAAGCTGCAGCCTTTGATCATCAGGAAGGATTGAAGTAAAATCTCTCTGCAAACGGAAAGCTAGCTTTTTTTAAATTTTACTTTACAAGTTTTTCTGTATTACACCTACAGGAGTTTAAACAGTGGCTTCAATGCTGCGTTACGAGACACAAAACACCTTTTGTCTGATCGATAATTCAACTGTTTTCTCTGCAAATATGAAACAAAAATGATGTTCATCAAAAGTAAAAAAAGAAACTTTCAGAATATATAAAAGAATCACAGAACTTAGGAACAACCACACCACCACATAAGAGGTGCATGATGGGATTTTTGGCCTATTTATTCTAACCTATTGAAGGTTTTCAGAACGCTTGTGTCTGCAGAACGAGGGACCCCTAAAAGCTTTAACAGAGCAACGTTTGGTTTCACTTGAAAAGGACAAAAACATTTGGTGGCTCGTGTTTCCTGACGAGGACGATTGTACCATTACAAGTGGTGGAGACAAAAGATCCACATGCTGAATGTTTGTTTACTATTGAAGACGTTCAGCTAATCATTTGATGAATTTTCCAAATTCAAACACAATAAAGTTAATTTCTAAGGCCATTTGTTTTAGTGAGATCTCCATTAATGCGAGCGAACCCACATGAATCCCTACTGATGGTCATTGGAGCCTCATCAGGAGAATTTCACGCTCTAACAGAAAACTCTTGCTTTGATTATTCAGGTGAAAACCTCACATTTGTAAATAAAATAATAGACTTTTATCACATTTAACAAACTAATGGTTCAGAAATGTGTTTAAAAAAACAAACTCCTGAACTAAGCAGAGGACTAATGAGAGTCCTATGTGCAAAACTAACAGTCGTTTGGTCTCAGTAATAAACCAAATGTGACGTTTATGACTTTACATTTCAGTGTTTTATTTTAGATTCACATTTTTTAATCTTCTGATCAAGCTTTAGTTTTGCTTGTTCAGAAAAAAAGTGACTTTTATCGTTTGGGGTTACTCAAGCTGAACAACAGGTTCTTCAAAATGAGCTGAAAATACTGGAACAGAATACAGAACCTGATAACACTACTCAGTTTGTTAAAAGACACAGTTCTCTTGGTGTTTCAACACATCTGCAGTAATCTCTAGTATAAATAATGTCTTGTGAGTCAATCTATGTCAGGAAAAAAGCTCTGGCACTCCTTTTTCAGGAACTAGAAGTAAGTTCTTCTGGGTGAGACCATGAATGTTGGAGTAAGGTCTAGCTGCAGACGCAGCCCCGTCCAAACACGCCCCTGTCTTCAGGTAAAGACAGATTTATATTTTTACAACTTGCGAAGATTTTGTACTTTAAATTTGAACGTTTAAGACATAGTTTGATAGAGAGTGCATTAGTGATTTTTTTCTGAAACAGTTTTATATAAAATTAAGCATTATTGGCAGTGGGGGAAGACGTCATGGATGCAAAATATTTTTTATATAATTTTTAATGGGCTACATGCAAGCCTTTTGGCCAAAATAAACGTACCAATAGGCTATTTATTTGACCGTTTTTGACTCCTCATCTAATAAGCAGCAAACTCACGACGGCAATGTGGTAGCCCGGAGGTATTCTACAAACACAAGAACAGTGCTAATGCCTATATGTATTGTTTTCACATTGTTTATGACAGCCTCTAGGTGTAAATGTCATTTTTACTAATTGCTATTTATCTTTGTCTCATTAGTGAGAGGCAGCTGATGTCCTATGCCATGGAACTGCTCATATACTCGGAGAAATTCAGAAAAGCTCTGGACTCATCTGAATTTTTGAAGAGGCTGTAGCATTGTGTGGACATTTATTTTATTTTTTATTTTTTGGAAGGTATTTGTAAGGCCAATAAAAGCTGTTGCTGGTTGTTTCATTTGTCTGAACTTTTTTTCTAAAGCCAAACTTTTCTGCTTTTGTGTTTACAGCATATTCTTTCCAGATTAGTGTATGGTCAATATCATTTTACTAGTCTTGTGAATTGTATACTTAATGCAAAATATTTTAGTAATTTCTAAATCAATACATTTTGTGTCAAAGGGCCAGCAATTATTCCTGTTAACAGAATATATGAAATGCATATATACACATATAAATATGCCTAAAAATTACACATCAGCAGCTTTTCACTGTAAAGAAGCAATAAAAAATCATAAATAGTAACATAAATATTAACTACTCACTCGTATGAACTTAGACCCACTGTTAGTGCCTGTAATAACAAATGGTTGAAAGTTAAATGTTGCTGTAGGAGGCGTGCTCCCAAAAATGGAGGCTAGTGGACTTAAGGGTTAATTAAACCGATTACCACAAATTACTTTTTCTGACAATTAATTTTATTGCATTTAAAATAAACACAAAATTGTTGGTGGTATCTGTGTTTTATAATCTCACTGGGGATGGCCATAAAGTGTGTATGCAAGAAAAAAAATCCATACATTCATATTCAAACCTGGAGTCCTGTCTGTTTAATTACATTATTACTATTTCTGTATAAACGTATTCTTTCAATTGTGTGGAGCTGCTGGAGCTGACAGCGGGCTCCCCGCCCGCTGGGAGGGCCGCCGTTGTTGAGCTTGGGGGTAGCTCAACAGGCACATGGGGGCGTGTTTTGTCGGGGGCGTGTTTGGACGGGGCTGCGTCTGCAGCTAGGTATTATTGGAATGTTAAGTGACAGCGTGACGTAGATCTATCCGCCTTTTCTAATCCTAGAGTTTCATAATCTATTTTCTATTAGAAGCTAATGCAGGAGATAGGTGTGAACTTGGCCTTTAATGTTACTTGCTTTTAAAGTTTGAATATGGAACAATTTAGTAAAAATCAATTTTTTTAAATAATTCCTCCACAGGGCATTTAGGGGTGTGTAAAATGAAAGTACAGTATTTCCTGTAAATGCATTTTTTTTAATTAAAAAATAATCAAATGTTTATTTTGATGGGCATGACACAAATTTATTTTTACATCTACCAGCCAGTAGAGGGCACCATTGCGGGTTACCAAGGCTGCGAGACTAGCACTGTGGAAAATGGCGGCCTCGGCAAGTCAAGCAGCTGCTCCTTAGACCAAAAGATGTGATTATCCTTCTCAGAAGAGGAGCGACTCTAAAATAACTAAAACCAGAGTGAGTTTAGGTGAAGCCTGCAACAGATGGACCCAAATAAAACAGTTCACGTATCGGCAGCAAATCTGGTGTCCCGACGGCTGGAAGCCCTGTTCTGATTTTGCAGCTACAACCTCCACTCACTAGATGTCACTGTGGTGTCTGTGATCCATATTCCACCTTTAAGTGTTTGAATAATCTGTCAGCTAGTAAAAAAGAACCAAAGTGAATTTAGAACAGCATCCAGAGGAAACTGCAGGTTTGAGACCAACTTAAATCAAACATCTGAAATAATAACTTGGCATCAGCTTCGTTTTGTATTTTAAAATTATCCTAAAATCCAGTATTTGGGCTTTTGTGTCGCCTTGATGCTCAAAATAATAGAAGCATAAAAATTGTGATGTTTATTTTATCCTGTTCACGGATTTCAACGTGTTTGTCTTGCTGCCGTGAACGTGTTGAACATGTGGAATAAGCAGAAACTTCTAACCGTTGATTGTAGTTTATGTATTTACCTACTTTGTAGTCGGAGAGAGTCGAATGATTGTCTTTCCCGTTTACTGAAATGTTTAATAAATGTTTTTTTTTAACCAGGTTTTATTCTTTAGATTCCACATCGACGACGAGGCTTTGGCCTGAATTATGTTCCTGATGCATAAAGATCTAACATTCAGCCACTGTGGTACGCTGCATTACAAAATAACTAAAACTACAAATGGAAGATAATTGGATGACAGAATAAGGGTTTGAACAACATCTAGTGTAGATCACACACCCAGCAGACGTCAGAGGGAAACAACAAAATGTGTGAAAGGTGAATAAAGTAGAGAAACAGATAAGTTACAACAGACCAATCAAAACAGAGCAAAATGGTCATTTAGATTTACATCACATCTCTGACACGGATCATAAAACCAGCCAAACCACAGAGACACCAGGTCACACAATCCACTCTTCACTACTCACATGCAATGATGTTGCCATAGCGATTCTTGTTGCGGTTCTCGTCCTTCTTGGCCATCTCCCATGGTGCCGTCTGTCCTTCTGCCAGGGCCTATGGACACAAAGGCACACATACATCATTATAAACAGAGCTATAAACCTAGAAATGTTATGCACATATGCACGCGTGCACACACACGTTGCATGCATGGATGATATCCGTGAGGAAACATCATCATTCAGCACGGACGGCTCCAAACAGAATAAACATCTGACTGTAATTGTCTAAAGGAGGAATTTTTCATGTCCAGGTAAACCGGACTGGCAGAACTCCCGGATACGTCGGCCCGGTAACTGTTCAGCAGTTTTCACACTAATCGGGGATACTTTACAAATCAACAGACCGGGCTGGAAGCAAAGCTCCCCTCCAGCTTTAGCAGAGGTAATCTGCTTAAGTTTAAGCACCGAACTGAAATCCAACCACCGGTGAGCAGTGGAATGATGACAGACAGCCCAAACGGTGCTGCTTCATGTTGGAGAAAAGAGGAAGAGGAGCGAGACAAAGTCACAAAGTTTTTTGTTCGGTTTCTGAATATTCAGTCGGTTCTTTGTTGGAGGAGAAAAGACAGCTTTTCCACGCTCCTCACAGCGGCGCCAGCCTTTCAAATCTAGCAAGGACAAAATGTTTATGTGCCACTCAGAAATTCTTCCCCACACATTTCACTAAAGACACCCCTAACCTTTTCATGTGATCTTCTGTCTACGTGTCCTGGAAGTGATGGGTGTCTCTGAGACAATGAGCTCCCCAGCAAGCTTCAGCTAAGCAACTAAAGCCCAAACCTCAAAGGTTGCCATATGGGCACAGAACGATTTTAGAACTCCGCCTCCAAAACGCTCAGGTCACGCACAGCACCGAGCGTCCCAGCGGGGACAAGTCAACTGTCCTCTTGAAGTCCATTAAGGGCTTAAGGAGGCCAGACAACAGCTTTTACTTTCAGACAGTGATATGACCTACATGCACACACACACACACACACACACACACACGCATACGCACACGCAAGCACACACACACACACACACGCGCGCGCACACACACACAGATGCGATGAGACAGAAACAGAAAAGACACTTACACTTGCCGCTCAGTCAAGCAGAAAATGGATTCTGGCATTTGGGGCTACATGTCTGCATGTGTTTGTGTATAAATACAACAGGATGGAGTCGTCCACAATTATTAGACAAATAGGAGGCAGGATATTAACAAAGTACATTAGTTAGAACACACGTATGCAGGTTTTATCAGACGTTTGTGTTGGCTGGGTCCACCTTTATCTGGAACCTTTTTTATATCATTTATATAATCACAGTCGAGTCGAGACCACGCCGCTGTTGCACTAATCACTGGGCTTTATTCAGAGCTCGATTTACTTCATGAATTAAAAAAAAATAAAGGACCAGGAATCTGCTCTCATATAAAACGTGATGCACCCCAGGGTCCCTAAGTAAACAAAGAGCTTCTCTTTAATCATTACTAATAACAATACATAAATGAAGCAGCTGGGATGAGAATCAGCTTCTCTAAAGCTGAGACCATGGCCTGGAGTCAGAAAAGGGCTGAATACCTTCTCCGGGTCAGGGATGAGGTCCTGTCTCGAGTGAAGGAGTTTAAGTATCTCAGGGTCTTGTTCACGAGTGAGGGAAAGCTGGAAAACGAGTTCGACAGGTGGATTGGTGCTGCGTCTGCAGTGATGCGGGCGTTGTACCGATCTTTTGTGGTGAAGAGACAGCTGAGCCAGAAGGCAAAAGGCAAAGCTCTCTTTTTTACCAGTCGATCTACGTTCCTACACTCACCTACGGTTAATGGTGAGGTTTTGTGGGCATGTCCAACCAAGAGGAGACCTAAAGGAAGACCCAGGACACGCTGGAGAGACTATGTCCCTTGGCTGGTGATGGAATGCCTTGGGATTCCCCCGGGAGAGAGGGAAGTCTGGGCATCCCTGCTAGGCTGCTGCCCCCGCGACCTGACCCTGGATAGGTGGCTGAAAATGGATGGACGGGTGGGTGGATATATCAGAGCTCATTCCCTTCATTCCTAATCTGTAAACTGGTGACACAGATACATTCATGTTGTGTATTTAAGGCAATTAAAAATAATTAATCTCTCTTAGCTGGGATTAGATCGACAAACCAGATGCCAGCTCGTCTGAATGGACCAACTTCCAAAGTGTCTTGATAATTTCATATCAGCTTCATTCTACAAAATGTCACCACAGTTCATGAAACATTATTGAAAAACCTAAACAAACCCAATCAGTTTCACATTACACGGTTCTGTGGGCAGGACAATGAATACATTCCTGCAGGACATAACCTCTGGATGCACCAGGGGTCCCTCTCTTCTCATGCTGCTGCTAACGTTAGAGCTCATTAATAATTACAGCAGTGCATATTAATAGCTAACGCTAAACTGAAGGCAGTACGAAGGTTTGAAGATGCTCACAAACAATTTAAGACAGCGTTACTATTTTCATTTAACCTGCAGTTTGTCATAAAAATTAATTATGATATTTAACGACAGGAAGACATTGAAAGGAGCCAGTTGAGGTGGCTCAGGTATCTGGTTAGTTTGCCTCCTGGACACGTCCCTGGCGAGGGAGGCGGTTTAGGCTGCTGCCCCCACAACCCAACTCTGAATAAGTAGAAGAAAATAGATGGATGGACGGCATTTAAACATGCAGGAGAGGACACATTACATACATCAGTTGAAAATAAAAAAGTAGGAAAAGAAACAGGAATGCTGGAGGGACTATGTCTCTTGGCTGGCCAGGGAATGCCTAAAGATTCCCCTGGAGGAGCTGGCTCAAGTGGCTGAAGAGAGAGAAGTCTGGTCCTCTCGGGTTAGGCTGTTGCCCAGCGACCCAACTCCAGATAAGCAGAAGAGAATGGATGGATCGATGGATGAAGAAATTTTGGTTTAGGCCTCAGGTCTGTATATATGAGGAACTTCCTGCTGTTAAGTAGTGTTATTTTCTCAGTAGTGACACCTACTGTTAAAGAGGAGGACTGAGAGGAGTTTAGCTTTTAACGGTAACCCAGCTAATGTTAAAACCTTCCTCATCAACCAGGACACTTTGGATTTACCTGATCTAAAAGACTTAAAGGGCCACATCACAAAAATAAAATGGTCAGACTTCCTCTGTGCCAAGATGTCAAATTAGTTCTTTAGTCGCTGTGCTAGCTCCAGATGCTCCGTTAGCATTAAAACACAACCCGCCATCTTGTGAGAGTTTAATATTCAAACATGTCAAGACTTTATGCATTTTTTTTCTGATGCAACAATGGTTACACTATAATGTAAAATGGTTCATTTAAAGTAATGATGTTATTATCAAATGTTGAAGGTTTAATTGAAACATTCACGTTTAAGATTTGTTCCTTTTCCATTTGAGCCAATATCTGAATATGATACAAGTCATTAAAAGTCTATTTTTCAATTAAATGCCCTAAAAACTAAAGGCAGTAAAAAGACAAGATGACAATAAAAAAATTATTATCTTTGTAAGCATGTGAACGTCATTAAACAACAAGTCAAGAGCTAAAAGTAGCTTCAGGGGCAGAGGGAACACCTGGTCTCCCAAAGCCGGATGCATCTGGTTCACCTTTACGGTGAAGCCGAAGCGTTTCTCCTTTAATTAACAACTTTAAATCAGGATTTCACTTCAGATGGAGGAGGTGAACTCCCGCTGGGGAGGGAGGTGTTGACAGTGTGGCTGCTGTCAATGTTAGTGAGGTTAATTCGTTTCAACACCAGAGGTCACGTCTCACACAGAGACCAGACGGTGTACACTTGGGGCGTGCACGCACACGCGCGCGCGCGCACACACACACACACACACACACACACACACACACACACACACACACACACACACACACACACACACACACACCACACACACACCACACACACACACACACACACACACACACACACGAAGGGCTGCTGCTGTCATGTGGACCCAGCTCAGGTACACACATCAGATTATCTTTTGTATTATGATGTCATTGTTTAATAAATCGTTTGCTCATTTCACTAATGACTAAACTGACACTAAAAGGCAGAAAACTTCCTCCTGATTCATTGTGATCTTAGAGAGGCCAAAGGTTTCCCTCATCACGGCTGCAGCACAGACCCACGGCTGGATTCTGTGACACAAATTATCTCAGATTTGCTCTAAAAGTTACTTGATGATTTTGCTTGAGTTTATTTTCAAAGGGCTCCGCTAAGAGGTCTGAAAAGCTATCGAGTGTATCGA